TTGACATGGGGTAATTTTCAACCAAACAGAATCAGGAATTTACAAGAAACTTTTCTAAAAAATAAAGAGTTCGGAATACAGAACATTTATAAAGTAAATTCACATTTACTCTTCTTAAACAACCCCATACTGTATTTGAAAGCTACTTGTGCTTTTTCTTTATCATGATTCCACAATTTAGGTGCTAAGAGCTACAAAGAAATTACGGGTTTATCAAGATTGCATATTTCTAGGTAGAAATGAATGACAACTGATAAGGTAGGTTAGGAAAAAATGTTTAGAATTGCATAGAAGTTTGGGGGTTGAGGTATATTTAATATGTAGGAAATAAACGAATTCATCACTTAATTACTGTTTGCAGTAGGCTTTCTTATAAATTATTTCATAATTTATTACATTAAAAATAACAGCAACTAGAATTTTTTTCCTTCTCTTTAAGGAATTTTTGGAGAATGCACATTAAGTGAATTAAATAGTCTTATAGCATATCCACTGATCTAAAAAAATAAAGTTATATTAATTTAATTATTTGTAAGTTTTAGATAAAACAACAAAGTATATGGACATTCTTGATTTTGCTTTTTCAGTATATAAACTAATAGTTATAATTACAGGGTATATATTGTATATCAAGCACTGTGAAAATGTATGGTTGTCTTGCTTATCTCTCATGATACTTTAATGATGATTTATCAAATACTTTCAAATCATGTAGTCTGATGACATTGAACTTCTGCTCTCATTATTTTTTCTATTTTCATAAGTATGCTGATGCATTCAACACCTTAAACAAATACAGTGACAGTAAAATACTGCTTTTCAAGGATTTCTATATGTTGGGTGTAGTTAGGATACCATGGACTATAGCTACCTGTAGTATAGCCCATGGACTATACTCAGCGCTATGCCTGGCTCTCTTCAGGGATCACTGATGGTGGCTCTGGGAGACATTATCTGGTGCCGGGGATTGAAACACTATCTGACATATGCAAGGCCAGTGCCTAAACCCCTGCACTCTCTCTCTCTGCATTCCATAGAACCTCTTTACTCACATTCAGATTTTCTCAACCTCATACACCTATTCCTACATTCTTTTATTTAAATAGTATACACTGCAGCATTTCGTCCCATTTCATGTTCAGTGATTGACTAGAGTACTATTAATAGCAATGATGTATGTGGTTAACAGGGAAGATTGCTACAATTTTTTTTTTTTTGCTTTTCGGGTCACACCCGGCAATGCACAGGAGTTAATCCTGGTTCATGCACTCAGGAATTACTCCTGGCGGTGCTCGGGGGACCATATGGGATGCTGGGAACCGAACCTAGATCGGCTGCATGCAAGGCAAATTCCCTACCCTCTGTGCTATTGCTCCAGCCCCTACAAAAATATTTTAAACAGAAAATTTGAATTATAAATAATTTTAAGTAAAGCGTAGAACTTGACTGGCAGAATTCATTAAAATAAATCACTTGTATTGAAGAGTATCCATAGTGTTTATCCAATTTATTTCATTTTTGGAATTGAAGAGCAGCTTAAATGGCAATAAAAATAATAATTTTTTAAACGACTTTAACCAACAACACAACAGTTGCCCAAAATTTGTCAGGCTGGATCAACTGCAGTGTCCCAAGTATAGCCAAGAAAGGAGAATTAGTAAATTGTACAGGAAGCTTATCTCTGTAATTTAAATGTGTCAGATGTTTTGGACATTGATTCTAAAATCCTAATGTTCAATCACAATATTTTATTCCTCTCCCCAGCAGCATCTTAATTCCATATAAAAAATGTATTACTCTTTTTCAGATTTTTAACATTAACTATTTATCAGAAACTGACTTTTGAAGGCGAGTCGCTTGCCAGGCACTGTCACGCCCAATATACATTTTTAAGATGGAAAGGTCTATTTGGCCCAGATTTAATTTTGACTCCCAGTAGACATTGGAAAACGAAAGTAATTTATCTCTCAACCTGCTAGGAGATGTTTTAAGTTTCAGCAAGCAGTGGTATTATATTAGCATGGGCCATTTGAGTAAATTTGTTTCAAGGAGATAATAAATAACTGAACTACTTGGTTAAAAATCAGAAATGAAACAATTTATCCTTGTCACCTGATGGTACTTAAATTATGAAATATAGCTCTCTAAAGGTTTGACTAATCTCTGAATCTAGTTTGAGGCAGTTACTGACTTTTTCTCATATACCACATAACACACAAAAACCTGTGTTTCATTGTGAAATGTCTTCCAAGATGATATTATATAATGATTCTCATAAAAATATGCTACCATGCTGAAAGTAGACTATAGACCAAACATGATTGCCACTCAATGCCTCTTTTGCAAACCACAACACCCAAAAGGAGAGAGAGAACAAAGGGGTATGCCCTGCCACAGAGGCAGGGTGGGATGAGGGGGATGGGGGGTGGAAGGGATACTGGGATCCGTGGTGTTGGGAAATGGGCACTGGTGGAGGGATGGGTATTTGATCATTGTATAATTGAAACCCAAGCACAAAAATTTGTAAGTCTACAAGTGTACCTCATGGTGTCTCACTAATAAAAATTAAAAAAATAAATAAAATAAAATTTTCACTGTCAAAATAAAATATGCTACCAGAAAGCTAATGAAGAAACCAGATGAATCAATTCTATATTCTATACCCATTATAATTGTGTAATGCCATGGTTTTAACACATTCAATTATACTGGAATAATTTCTGGAGGAGAGGCAGAGAGATTTCTTATTTGATAAATAGGTAAATTAGTGGAAAGGAAGTGCACACTCCATAAACTTGCAGCACACAGATTTGAAATGATCAATTAGTGGAGTCTGTCGGAACTCTCTAAAAGTATTAATTTTCATCTATTTTGAAACTTGAAAAAATTTTAGGTTATGCTTTCTTACCACCCAAGGATAATAATAAATGCACTTTGCTATAGCAGAAATGAATAACTGACCCATCCACCTCAGCCTCTGAAACACATATTTGGGGAGGAAAACAACTTGTTCCTTGTGATCAGGGAAAACACATAGAACACATAGATGAGGCTCCCTCTGTTGACAGTGAGACCCTAAAATCTCCCTGTAAAAAAATCAAGGTTGGATGGAGACAGAAGTTGCGGTGAAAGGTAAAGGACTTAGCCGATTCTTTCCATTTTCTTTAATTATTCCCCCTCAAGTCTTTCAGTTAGTTTCATATACTTTCTCTTATTTTATTTTAACACAGTAGCTCCCTTTAACTAAAACTCAGCTCTGTAAAACTTTATGAGTTCTACAGAACATTGGTATGTTCTATTAATTATGAAATACATTATGAAAGCACAGCAAGTAGGGTGTTTGCCTTGCACACTGCCAACCTTGCCGACCCTAGTTTGACTCCTCCACTCCTCCCAGAGAGCCCGGCAAGCTATGGAGTCTATCTCGCCCGCACGGCAAAGCCTGGCAAGCTACCCGTGATGTATTTGATATGCCAAACACAGTAACAAGTCTCACAGTGGAGACATTACTGGGCCCATTTGAGCAAATCCATGAACAATGGGAGGACAGTGCTACAGTGGACAGTGCTAACATGATTTACAAAGTTGTTCACAATATAGTCATTTTACTTATTCAGTATTCCAATACCACTCTTACCACCAGTATGCCCTAGCCTCTACCAATATCCCTCCTTTCCTACCCTCCCCCTCATGCCTGCTCTATTAGCAGGCACAGGTTAATATACTTCATATTGCTTGTTATAACATATGTCTAATAATGATGCTGCTAAAATCATAGCCTGTGGATTTACTGAAATATTAGGTGCGAGTTGGGCCTCTATGTTATTGTTTTCACTCATGGAGCTTAGGGGATATCTACTCAGTATTCCCATTTAATTCTGTTGCTTCTACTGTGAAATTTGGAGAAGTTTCACGGCCAATATATAGCTGCATGCTACAGGGGATTTGGAACTGGTACGATCAGCTACAGGTGTCTCTGGCAGCTCTCTGATATTAGTTGTGAAGCTGAGCTGTTTCGCTGTCAGCCATGGGAGCTGCATGTGGGTGGATGAAACACTGGGCCTTTGGCTGTGCAGGACTTTGCCAGCCCCCATCGCATCTAGGGTCCAGGTGCCCTATTGGATTTCATAAATTGGATTTAAGAAATTTAACTTAATTTCATAAATGAAATTGGATTTCAGTGAGAAACATGCTTATTTTAATGATAAATACCTACAACGTGTCTTCAATAAAAAAATATTGTATAATTAAAGAAAATTTCAAAGTAAAAATATAAAATATTAAATATAAGCACTATCTGTAGCACTGTCCTCCCATTGTTCATCGATTTGCTTGAGCAGGCACCGGTAAGATCTCCATTGTGAGACTTGTTACTGTTTTTGATATATCAAATACGCCACGGGGAGCTTGCCAGGCTTTGCCGTGCGGGAGGGATACTCTCAGTAGCTTTCTGGGCTCTCTGAGAGAAACGGGAATCAGACCTCGGTCCGGGTCAGCCTCGTGAAAGTCCAAAGCCCTACCTGGTGTTCTATTGGCTGACCCATTAAATAAACTATAAATTTTAATTATAAGTTAGTTTATGACTGATGTAGTTGTTTCAGTTTACCTAAAGGAAAAAAAATCTTTTTGAGGGATTATATATCTTCCAAAGACTGCAAAGCCTTATGAAAATGGAAATAAATAAATAAATAAATAAACTTTGCAGTTGACATTTTCCAAAAGAGTTTTTGAAGCTATATATGTTTCCTAAAAGCAAAGTTAGATAATAGGATAATGGAGGCTTGTAACTTATTTTTTTCACTCATTGAATTGTGCTTTTCTAAATTGCTGATATAATATTTTGATAATTTTCAAATATAGGCTAAATTTTATGAATTTTTTGTACTGTTTTGTGAATTGAATATTTTATATAGATGGTTTCAGATATGCATAAAACATTTGATATTTTTATGTCAAAGTATTAAAGCATTCAATAATTAAAGCTTTCTTCTTTTTTTAAGAGCAATGAAGTTGTCTACTACAACGCAAAGGATGATCTTGATGTGAGTACTCAGTTTTGCATTACTTTCCAAAAATATACTTAGTTACAGTAGAATAATTAGTTTTATAGAACAACTTGACCTAACAGGTTCATTTTTCCAGAAAATATTTGCTAACATAGAAGAATACTAGTTAGCCGATGAGATAATGATAGACTTTAGTGCTTACATGGTCTTTACTAATTATTGACATCTTTGTAAGTCACAATGTCCTGAATATAAATTCCCAAAACACCCTATCTAGACCTCAGTCTGCTCCACTGACATATATAATGTGTGTGCCATTAACAGTGGTAGATGTGTTTTGAAGACACATGAATGCAATTTCTCCAGCAAATGTGAAGGTACCTATGTAGCAGGAACATATTTAATTACATGTATACCTCGATTCCATGTTAAAAACTAAATGAGCACTGACTCATGGCTCATCAAAGAGCACCAGCTTTGCATGCACAAAACCCTGAATTCTACCCCTGACATGTCTCACAGATGCTTGGTGCAGCAACTAGCACATATAGAGTGTAAGCAAAAAATATGGAAAGAAAAAGTTGTAATGCTTTGATATGTGATATGTTCTACAGCTTGCTACAGCACTGAAGTCTCTGCCACTCCCGCTCCTCCTCTCTCTCTTTCCTCCATCATATATATCTGTACAAAGTTAAAAATTTAAAATTTGTGATGATCAAACAGGGTAGAGTTCCTAAAACATGAACATTGAATGAAGTATAATGTGTAGATTTACTTCATTGTAATGATAATACATGGCCTCACTTAAAGATGTATTCAAGGCGATCAGTAATGTTTATATTAACTATATTTGAGTTTCCAGTTGGTAGGCAACTATCGGGTTGTGTACTTAAACACTTGCAATATAAGATACTTCCTCACATGTGTTTTTTAATATCTGTCCTGCTCTATCAGTGCTATTTGTGTTTACCTTATAGTATGGAATTACTTATTGGCATCACATTTAGCTAAACCAGTGGATGAAATAGGGGTTAGAATTAATTTGCCTGAGCATTATGTAATAATGTCCTGGGAGTTCATAGGGGCCATATGGCTACCAGTTGAGAAATGCTGGTCTTAACAACCCTTAACACATTCACAGCTCATTTAATATTTTCTATTAAATGTTTTTGCAGCATGAGGGTCAGAAACTGATTCATTTTTCTGTATTGAATGATATAATTATTTACCTAATGCTTGTTAGATTGGATATGTATTTATGTGCTTTCATACCTTTATTATTCATCTAACTTTTGGAAGATGAGTCCACTTTTGAATGTTGTGTTCTATGTACAGATTAAGCAATGGACCATTTCAAACCCGGTGAAAATTAAAATGCTAGTTTTTTTTAAGGTTAAATGCAAAGTAACTTAAAAATGCGAAGCTAGATTTGACTATCAATGATTTGAATTACCTTTTAGTACACATTATGATGGGGACAGGTGGAAAACAAGGGTGGGGCAGTGGGTTATCACCTTTGCTCATTGACTTCCCTAATATCAAAAAGTAAATGTGGTTTCTTTTGTCTAAACCTATTCAAGTTAGGAATATGTACTAGAATGAGAATATTTGCAGTTACTGCAAGTAATACAGTATCATTTTTGTTCTTAAGTCTGGGAAAATAAGCTCTTGTTGAGTCTGACATATGATATCATGGTTATTAAACCACTCAATCAAACTTCAATTCTGTCTGATTCTACATACAGATAGAGTAATAGTTTATGGATTTAATTTCTAAAACAACCAAAACAAAATTTTATAATGCTTCAGTGTATGATTTCTTTTTACTTTCCATATGAAAAGCATTTTATATACATAGAAAACAATTGTTTATTGAATCTTAAATAATTGCTTCATCTATTATTTGCTTACACATTCTCAGATAAAATTGATATTTCACTGCTAAATGTTTCTTTGTGCAATGCTTTTTTTCCTAAGAGGTCATACACTTGTAATAATGATGCATTATTACGTAGAAGTAGTATTAGAATGTAGTTAAGAGATTGTGCTCCAGACTACTATCCAGAAATGCAATCCATAAATATTCGTGAGTTTAACTTTAGAAATAATTGGTAATATTATTATTATAATACATTTAATACTGATAAGGCACATGTGTGTTATTAATAATAAGAGTTTAAGAGATTTTACTTTATTGTAATTCTTGTGAAATAATAAAGCAGTATATATACAAATTTAAAATTGGAATTAAATATAAAAATAATTTGTGGACACAATGCAAAAATCTGTCTTAATATTTTTGTATATCCACATCAATAGTAAAACTTAGTGGGTTGGGGGTAGCCTCAGTGGTGCTTAGGGCTTACTTCTGTCTGGCTCTGTAGTCAGGATTCACTTCTGTTTCTACTCAAGAGATCAAATATGTGCTTGGGATCAACCTCTGCAAACAAAGCAAGAGCCCTTCTCTTGGTACTCTCAGTACTAGTCACCGACCCTTTTTTAATTCATTTATTTAGGTAGTTTTGTGCTCACACCAGCAGTGCCTGGGAGCCATACCCGACTTGGCCATAGCCATATGCTAGGAAATTGCCTTGGACTTTATACTATCTCTTAGGCCCCTGATCACAAAATTTTAAAGAATTATCACAAAATAGTTATCTGCAAAATTTTATAGTCATATCTTTCAAATTTTGAATTGTTTTGGTTTTCAGAGATATCTCAATAAATTTCTATTGTGTTAAGGAACTGCTATCGCTCCAGCCCGTTAAGGAACTGATATTCTCAAAAGATGTGTTATGGAAACAGTCTGCTCTGTATTTCCCAAAGTAAACAAAAAGAAAGATGATCATTGCAAACTCTTATCAGCCTAATTCTGTGATCTATGTTTCTGACTGAAGTTCAAGTTAGGTACAGACCTAGAATTCTCTTGCTGATAAATTGAGTTGATTTATTTTGCAACATTTTATTTTATTGATCACTTAAAAATTTGACCTGTCTGGAACATTTGGCTAGTCTGCTGAATCCCTTGCATATTTATGTTACTATTTATTTTCTTAGCAGAACTCTGTCTACATTGAAATTAGTTCCAAACATAATGTTCTATCTAACTCTCCATTTTAAAGCCCGATTTTTTTATAATTTCATTTGATTTGATAGAAACAAGTAAAACTGATGAGCTCATAGAGATAAACATCAAACAGCAATAAAATTGCTTTAATTATTAAAAAACAAAGGACAGACTGGGTTTCTTTCTTTTTCAGTTTTTTTAAATGCTTTTTGTCAGTTTTTATTTCAATGCCTGTTAATGAAAAATTGAAGATGGTATAGAAATAGAGTATAATTGGTTTGTTTAATGGCTTATTCAGAACTATCTCTGTGCATACAAGTGATTTATATATTTGGATGTCAATATATGGATTTGATTATAATAATTGTTTATATGTACTACCCTACATTGAACAATAAGGGCTTTATATGCAGTGAATCTTTTGCTGTTCACATTATTCTTTTGTAGCTCATACTATAGTCTTAATGATTTCCAGATAAGGGCAAGCAAAACTCAGTAGGTTTTTAAAAATATTTTTGAAAAAGTTCTTCCATGACGCATTTGTTATTTGAATGTGTCAGGAATTGAATGAAGTTCTGTGACCGTGAGTACAGAGAAAGTGGTTGGCACTGATCTTTCAGCTTTTTGAGGAGCACCCAGAGGAGAAAGAGGGCCAATGTCTGGACTTACTATAAGTCAAAACATTAAGGCTGGAGGAGATAGCTCATAGGGTTAGTGATAATGCTTTGTACGCAGGAGACCCTGGGTTCAATTCCCAGCTCTTTATGGTACCCAGAGCACCAACAGAATAGAGCTTGAGCACCAATGGGTATACTCCTAATCAAAAATAAAGTCATTTCGTTGAAATTTCTCAGGACAGTTTGATTGCAAACTTACTTTTTTAAATAAATACATATAATTCATTCCTCTTAGAATGTTCATGTGTTTTTCTTGCATAATATATAACCAGCTCCATCATTGATAGATGTTTATGGTGATTTGCAAGAAATCACTGTGATTAAAAAGATGGTTAGATTTCAAATCATAAATCTGCACTCATTTGATCGTCTGTTTCCATTCATGTTTACCATGAATACATTGAAATTAATGCATGAACCACTGTGTGAAATATGGCCACAATAGGATTCGCTGGGGTAAAAAAAAAAATAAAAGAAAACAAAATGTAGTTCAGATTCAGTTTCTTCTAGGAATTTTGCTTTATTTTGGAGAAAGTTTCTTTAAATTATTTTATGTTAATTTTGATATATTTTATTGCTTGGTGCTCTTTGGCATATGTTCTTCTACGAGAATAGATTAAGCATTAATTCCTATTTATTTTAAGATAGTGGCATATATAATTATCTTTTAGATTCTGCACCCAGTTCTTTCTTTCTGGAAGTAGCATATGGATTTAGAATTTAATGAATATTCATTGCAATTTAAAAATTCAGTGGAATTATTTTAAATTTATCATTGCACTGTAACATTGTTGTATGTATGTTACATATGTGTACATACACCATACACTAGTAAAGATTGATTTAATTATTCTTTTATTAGTCTATGAAATTACAGATACTCAAAATTGGGTGTCAGGCATACATCTTTTCAACACCAATTCCTTCACCAGTGCCACTTGACTCCACCAACTTTCTGCCACTCCCTCTTTGCCTCCCACTCATAAGTCTACTTTTTAAAAATATATGTTTTTTGTATTGTGATTTACTGTTGTCCATAGAGTTTCATACAAAACACTTTACCACCATTCAGCTCTTCCCTGCATTATAGTTATTAACCCCTCTCTGTCCTATCTGCCAACCTCCCCAGGTGGTATGTTTCCTAGGAACTACTTATTCTCATATTCTTTGTTTCCATTTTCTTGGGACATTCATTTTCCCCCTTTATGTTTCCTTCTCTCCCTACGAGAAAGATCCTTCTGTGCTTGTCTCTCTCCCTCTGATTAACTTCACTTAGCATAATACTTTCCAGG